TTGTACTCAAGGACTTCAGGGAGGGAGTCAATATGGTAACTATTTTTGGGTCAGGATTATCTGGTGGTGAAACACTATTCTGCTTAAATGGTTATGTTTTGATCTGCCCTGTTTCGCTGTTATGCCCTCTTTTTTCTCAATCTCCACTCCATTATTTACTTTTTAATTTTTATCCATTTAATTAAAGGGAAAAATATAGCAGGATATAATATAGTAACCCACTTTGACTTTCTATTATCTCGATTTGAAGCCCTGTATTACTCTCACCATCTTGTTTTTGACTGAGGTTCCTCTATTCTGTTTTGCTGGATAGTATCAGGTTCGAAAGTTTAGGCATCAGCTGAGAAGATAATGAGATTCATTATAACGCCCATTCTCGTTGACTTTTATCTACTTTTGAAGACCTACAATATCTCCAATGTTTTGGTTTTGTCGGTTTTATTCTTTACGGTTTTGTTCAATTGTATTACAACTAATGATATAGGCAATTCTATTAGAAATAGCGGGAGGCATTATGGTAACCATTGTTGATCACCTTGTATTATGTTTTTATATTATCTATTATGTCCATCCTTTTGACTTGACCAATTCTGTTCTGTTATGTCACATTTGGTTTTACTCTCTTCCAAAAAAGCAATAAGAACCGTGGGAGCAATGAAACCCAAAATGTGTAATAGTCATTGTACAAAAGAGAGGAAAAGAAAGTGCTCTAAACTATATAACTGCATGTATATTTAAATGTATAAGATAGAAAATGATATCACAGAGTTTTATTGGATCATTGAACAGAACTGTTTGCAGTATCATTGTTGGAATGTCCACTCTACAAGCTTTAATTTTGTGACCTGAACAATTATTTCTAAGATGGCAATATGTAATCCATTAACTAGTGATTTCCTACTGCGCATTTTTTTCTCCTGTAAATCTGTATAACTTGTACCCCTTCACTGTTTTTTTTTCTTTCTTTTCTTTTCTCCTTAAATAAAATAAAAAAAAAAAGAAATAAAAGCAGGAGGGATTATGGTAACCATTGTTGATCACCTTGTATTATGTTTTTACATTATCTATTATGTGCACCCTTTTGATTTGACCAACTCTGTTCTGTTATGTCACATTTGGTTTTACTTTCTTCCAAAAAAGTAATAAGAACTGTGGGAGTAATAAACCCAAAAAGTGTAATAGTCATTGTACAAAAGAGAGGAAAAGAAAGTGCTCTAAATGATATAACTGCATGTATATTTAAGTGTATAAGATAGACAATGATATTACTGAGTTTTGTTGGATCATTGAACAGAATTGTTTGTAGTCTCACTGTTTGAATGTCCACTTTATATGCTTTAATTTTGTAACTTGAACAAATATTTCTAAGATGACAATATGTAATCCATTAACTAGTGATTTCCTACTGTTTATTTTTTTCTGAAATTCTGTATAAATTGTACCTTTTTTCTGCTTTTTATTTCTTTTTCTCCTTAAATAAAATTAAAAAAAAAACTCAATAGCAGAGTAAATCCAGGGGCCAGGCTACCACCCCCACCCCCACTAGGTACCTCTGCACTCAGCCACAGAGAATGGTGTCCTCTTCCCACTCGCCCAGGTCATTCTGACTCAGCCTGTTTCTTACCCAGGTCACTGTTCTTTGGGTATCTGCTCTGGAAAGGCCAGCCTCCACCATTAAGACCAAAGAGCCTTCTTCCTGCCAGCATGCAACATGGGCAGGGAACCACATGATTTATGGCAAGAGATTTTGCTAAAACATGTGGAACCGCTTGCACACAGATCGTGAGCTTCCTCTGCTCAAAAAAAAAAAAAAATACTCTGCTCTTGTAGGAAAACATATTCTATCACTAACTTACTCTATCTCTGGGAACTCAGCTGTGTAGGTGTCTATACAGATTTAAGTAAGTGAACATTTACCGCAGAAGCATTTATGACTATGAAATGTCTAAACAATTCTATTATACAGCCATTCTGTGTATGTAAAGAAGTAGCACTGTATCAGACAATAGAGTAGTCTAAATCACTCATTTTATTTGTTTAATTAAAACTTCATCTGGCAGTAAAACTGCTCTTCATTTGTTAACTAAATGAGTATAAGCTGTGCAAAAAAATATTATTGCTTAATATAGTAAGTGTCATAAGTAATACTAATCCCTTGTAAGTCAATATTTTCATGATATTTAAACCTGGTTGATGAGGAATGATTATTATAATTTTATGCTTTCTTGTATTTTTGACAATAATCATACTTGATATTAATTCTTCAATGAAATAAATAAATGGTCATTTCATCCCCAGTACCAATGCTACCAAACAGTGTAGTGCAAGAGAAAGTAAACATGACCACCAGGGCCAGGGATATAGCTCATTAGCAAAGTGAGAACACTATATATGACCTAGGCACAAAGTACAATCTGATATAGGTCAAAAGGTGACTAATATCTCTGTCTGAATGATCAGATAATTGGCTCATGCTGTTATGATTTTGGATATTGCTGTGTTTTGGACGATAGCCAAACTTAGTATTTCCTCTTGAATGAAATAAACCAATGGTCCTTGTCTTCTCTGTAACAACACTGACAAAAGAGTATAATGAATGAGAAAATAAAGGTGACCCCAATGCTTGGCTTTCCTAAAGCAGATCTGAATCTCATAGCTACTCTGCAAATGGGAAGATCTTGGCTCTGTACTTGGAGGATTCTGGGGACCCAGTAAGAACAAGTTGCAGTGCTGAGACAGGGAGCTCAGCTCCAGTGTGTTCCAGCCACCATGCAGCCAGAAAGTCAGTCCCCACCCGTCCTCCTGCAGGACACCCCATTTCTACTTGGGCACGCAGCATCCAGCATCTCACAACTTCTGCTTAGAAAGGCAGGCAGAGGACAGAGGAAATCTGGACAGAGAGGTCAGATTCCCAGCAGGGCTCCTCTCACTCACACTAGGGGGCTCCAAGGGCAACAGGAGACAGAAAGGCCTCAAGTTAGCACTGTGGGGAGGGGAAGGAACTTAGTCTTACTTCAAGCACCACCTCCTCAAGATGCCTTTAAACTCTCACCAGGGAACGCACAGAAGGTGTTCCCTTCACACACTGCGAACAAACCAACTGACAGACAAGAATCTGGATGGTACCTCTGTCCCCTACACGTTCCTTCACCCACTCCGCGGCTGCAGTAATGCTCTGTCCGGGTGACACCCAGGATAACTGCCTCCAGCCGTTCTGATGCCTGCTTCCTCAGCTGCTCAGCCCCTTCTTCTGTCAGACACGCACCCAGAACCCTCAAGCCTCACATGTCAGGCTGTCGAGCCAGCAGGTTCCCGAAGCCCAAGTCACAGCCTATGATGAAGACATACTTGTCTTGCAGGTGGCTCACCACCTGGCTCTCCCAGTACCAGCACACACAGTGGTACAGACCCACAAGGACTGCCAGGTACAGCAACATGACTTCACAGAAGCCCAGAATAGGGACAGTGTGAAAGACAAGAGACTGACTTGTTTTAAACCAAAAGAAGAAGAGGAAGTGAGAGTCCAAAGGGCCAGTCAAGGCAGGTAGCCTCTAGAGTCGTAGCATGGAGCCTGGATCTTACACCCTAGTTACTGTCTATCTGGAACGTAGTCTTTAAGTCAATGCTGCCCACATCTTCACACTTTGGACTGCTTTTGTTTTATTGCTATATAGATATCCTTGAATATCCAGCATCCTGCCTCCAAGAAAAATAGGACTCTAGTTTATTAGAACCTCTGCCTGCAAAGAAATCCACACATATACCATAACACCTATAACTCTGTGATCAGGTTCTAGAGTCAGTTTGTTTATCTTCATTTGCATGCAAGCACCTTGCTCCTAAACACTGGTACTAATTATTGACAATGGAGACAAGGCACATTTACAATGAATTTCATCTCAGAACCCAGGTTTTCTAATTAGGCTGATGAAAACAGTTCACTCCTGAAGAAAATAAGTCACCACCATTCTCTCCAGTACTACAAATATCATCCCAGGAAGTGGACATGAAGAGATCCTCTCTTGGTAGCAAGGGATCCAAGGGGAGTTAGAAGTCTGAGGCAAAGAGAGAGGTAAGGAAGGAAGGCATGGGAGACAGGACTTTCAGGAATGAAACTCCCAAAGCTGGAGGGAGGCTGGAATAGAATGACTTTCACAAAACAAGTACAACAGATATAACTTTCCCTTACTGAATGTGGCCTTTTCTCAGATGAACAGATGTAGGTGGACATGATTGCCCCAAAAATAACACCAGCTGTACAGTTTCTAGGCAAATTATAAGTAGATTAAACTATGAGAGTGGTATGTGCAGACCAGGGCTTCACAATGTCCCTGATTATTTGGTGCCTGCTTAAGTGAACCAAGTCCTTTCCAGCTAACATGAAGCAAATTTTGTCCTAACCCATACATATGTCACTGTTTCTGACTCAAATTGGAGGGGTCAAACCAGTCTTCTTGCCCCACGAGACCACTCTGCAGCTTGATGATAAATCCACCTACACCTACACTCTGTGCAACCCCAGATCTACCTGCCTCTGCTTAGTTATATGGTATCTCAGGGCCTGTTCTCCCACACTAGCACTGAGCTGTTGCAGCTGCCTGTAGCATGCCCTCCACCTTTCACTCTGAGGGCTCTCCTGCCTGTGCACACATCCAGAATCCAGTCTCCTCAGATATCAAGGGACTAAAACCATAAAAGACTGCATTGCACAAGCACCACACAGACACCACAGTTCTCTGAGTGCTGGCCCGGCCCTGAGTGTTTCAGCCACAATCCCTGTAAGGGGATGTATCACTTCTCTGCCTTTTGGCTAAGATCAGATGTTGAGAAATGCTGACTGACTGCCTACACCTACCAATCTCTGAAAGGTAAAAATGGAATAGGAGGAGGCCGATTTGAAAGGAGAATTGTACTGCACAAAGCTCACCTTATCTGTTATACATCCAAGAAGAGAGGCAGCAGCACTGTACATTTCAGTTTCCACCAATGGCTAAACATACCTTAATGTAGGGAGCTGCCTGCAGGCTGCCAGAGATCGTCCCTCCTGGTGATGCCTCTCCCTGCTCTTGCTCTTGCTCTTGCTGTTGCTCTGGATCCTGTATTTACTCCTCCTCAACTCCTGCCCCTCCTGTGGCCCCTGTTTCTGCTCAGCTCCTGGTCCTGCTCCTGGTGCTGCTAACTGGTCCTTTTCCTGTTCCTCATGCTCATGTTCTTATTTATGCTCAAGGGTAGCTTCCTGAATCCTACTTCTGGGCTTATTAAAACAATAAGGAGGCAGAGTCCAACAGTTGAACAGCTGGTGGAACTAACAAAGCCTCATTCTGGCACCACTCAAGCTAAATAAGCCTCACGGCTTCTTGGTCTGGAACAAACTGTAGGTCTTTTTCTTAGTGAGGACAGGTTTCTTCAATGGAAAATTCCCAAAGTGATCCATGCACAGCGGCCTTTTCCAGTGCTTCGAAAGGCTGATCTGTGTCACTCAATCTGACAGTAACACGGCTTCTTGCTAGGGGATGAGGGTATTCCAGAACACTCTAGGTTCTGCAGTAATTCCTGAAAGTTTTGTGCGTTATTGCTTTGTGTTTTATTTTCCTTATCTCATTATGTAGTCCCTGAGCAATCCTCATGCCCAACCTCCCATGTGCTAGAATTGCAGGCATGTACCACCAAGGCTGGCTCCTGAGTGTTCCATGGAAGAATCAGAGAAGAGGAACCTGGGTGAGACTCCCTCACCTGGAGGCACAAGGCAGAAAAGAAGTCCTCTGAGTTCCCTGCTGCTGACATTCTCAATCACCACCTGCACACCCTCCTCTGAGGCTCCGGCAAAAGGCATTCAACAGTGACAAGCACTTTCTTGTCTACACCTGGAAAGGGGACTTAGCCAGGCACCAGTCCTCTACTGCTAAGCACCTGCATGTCCCTGCATGGCTCAGGCCAGTGTCTGGGCCAGGACACATGCTGGAGTCAGGGGAATCAGCTTAACCATGTGGGGATCACTCTTTCCAGCATCAGAGTGACAGCCCCCATAACTCCATCTCCAAAGGGATGAAGCTTCTACAGAAGGGGAGAGCAGAAGAGCTAGGACAGAAAGTGAAAATGCATTGTATACACCACTATCCATCCCCACACACTGGAGACCCTACTCAGTCTAAGTGGGTAGTCAGAAATGAAGGGACAAACATGTGTAATAGGGGCCAAATATCTAAGAGTTGCTGACCCTGGATTTGGACTCACTGATCCTGGATTCTCACAAGGGCAGAAGAGCAAAGTAAGGAATAAAGTGCCTTGCTGTGGCATCGTGTGCACTCTGATGAGCCAGACTCCAGCCTGAGAGGACCCAGGCCTACACTCAGGGAATAGGACTGCAAGGAAGAAGAGGAAATGGAAAGAAGACTCTCCTGAGATCTGGGATGAGGACTAGACCAGGCTAAGAGCATCCATTTCTTGTGAAAACCTGCTCCACCAGGCTATGGAGTGAGTCAGTGACCTTTTCTTTTAGTTCAGTGTATTTTCTGTGTGAGTGTGCTTCCTGTGGGGAGGGTGCTATCTATATGTGTGCATGTCTCAAGGCTTATACGGATCAAGAGGCTGATGCTGTTAAGCTCTTCTTTTGCTTTTGAGGGGATAATATGAATTGACTTTAATGAGAGATTGAACTCACCACCTTGTGCTTCTATGAATTGATTTTGAATGAGCTGGCATGAGCCATCCAGAGATTGAGAGCCCCTCAAGGATTTTTCTTGGTTGTCCATATTTTTTCAACATTCACAAGCCTGATCTTATACTCTATACAATCTTTCAAATGGAAAGCCCCCAAATTAACACCTAAGAATGGGGATATAGCTCAGCGACTTAGGTGCCTCCTTGGCAAGCACGACATCCTTGTTCAATCCCTTCTACAAAAGAAGAAGAAGAAGAAGAAGAAGAAGAAGAAGAAGAAGAAGAAGAAGAAGAAGAAGAAGAAGAAGAAGAAGAAGAATCACCTAGAACCCCATGAATATCTAGTACACATTTCAGCCAATCACGTTAACATAAACTTGCAATCACAGCTACTCACGAGACTGAGGCAAGTTCAAAGCCAGTCTGGATCACTTGACAAGACCCTGTCTCAAAAATAAAGCACAGAGAACCTAGTGAGTAGCTCAGTGGTAGAACTCTTGCCTACATACAGGAGCTGATGGGATCAATTCCCAGTATCAAAAAGTAGTATAATTTTCATGTTTTTATGTAGCACTTTAAAAGGAAATGAATGTCTCAGCAACAGTGGCCATAACTTTCTGTTATTACAATGCACTGTGGTCATTTTTCAAATACACAGTATTACCTAAAGGCTTCAGATTCTCAAGCATTACATTGATGTGGAAGAAAGGTAAGATACTGGGGAAATGCCTCTCAATTCCAGTTTTCCTTAGCCCAGGCATCTCTGTGACTGCCTGCATATGAATACTCAGTTCAGCCCGCACTTGAGATCATGACAACATGGCAACATACACACACAGGTCTCAGGAAGTCAGGAGTGATTCAAGTTTTGACCTCAAATACAGGAGGTGCTCAGCAAAGGCTGAATAGATAATGAAAGACTCATGTCCAAAGTGATTCTGCATCAATGCCAGAGGAGTGTGGGAGTAAAAGAGACTCAGGGCAACAGAAGAATGGCCCGGTCATAACTGCAGTGACTTCAGAGGGAGGGAGGGAAAAGAGGTATGAGTTGTGCTCCTGAAATGAAATGAAGACTTCAGCTCATCTGCATAGAGATTTGGGACATGATAGTCCTTTCTGAACATCTCTTTACTTGCCCATGCCTCTGTCTAATCTTCTAAGCTACTTGGAAGTTTTGGAAGAGAAAAATTATCCCTCATCCTGTGGCAGGAAGCCCTGAAAGAGGGCAGAGTTAATCCATTTTCTATTGTCTAATCACTCCACAGGTCATCCTTCTCCTTTCAATTTCATAACAATTCCTGACTCTTCCCACCACACCCAACTTCTCCTCCAGGCAATGTTTTATATCATGGAACATGGGTGATCTCTTCAAGCATCAAAACTTCTCCTTTATTCTAAAACAAAAACAATTAAAAGAAAATCACAGTTTCAAGACAAACAGAGAAATGGGTTTGCATGTCCTTGTCAGAATCCCTAACACCTCCCAACCAATATCTAAAGTCCAAGGGAAGACTGGAGCTGCCCTCCCCTCCACCCTCCAATGCCACATACACAGTGAATGTAAAGGACAGGGACTCTTTACATCACCTGGACCATTAGTACATTGTGGAAAGGCAGACAGTAGTCAAGACCAATGCATACCCACAGGAGGAAGGCAAGGGGTAAATAAAGTGTGGGCTGTGCATCCTCCCACACGTTGCCAGCCACCCCAGATGTGTAGATCCCTCACAGTTGGCGATGTTGCTCACAGATGTCAGCAGATGCCTAAATGAATTGAGAATCAGTGGGTGTTACTGAGTTCCTATTCCTCAGCAGAAGTCCTTGACTCTTTCCCTCTCACGTCACCAGTCTTGAGTAATACCTGATAAAAATCCTTTGGACCTAAAAAGTGAGATAGGTGCCCTAGTGTGTGAAAGCTGCTTGCCTCTACCCACTGCCCTTACCTGACATGTCCTAACCCACACACACTACACATCTACCCAACCACACACCCAACAGTTGGCTTTACAGGGCTTTTGTTGGCTCTGAGGAGCCCCAGTACACAAGGGCATCCACCAGGAATGAGGGCACATAGTTCAAGGGGAGGTAAAAGAGCTTGGCATCCCAGCCAGCTGAGTACTGCGTGCGAGGGTGACAGCAGTCAGCGCATGTTCCATGCAGTCCGTCACCAAGGACAGGTCTGGTGTGTTCTTTTGCTCCACTAATTTAGATGACCTCAGGTCTGTACTGAAAGAAAAACGATCCAGGCTTATTTCCACCTCCCACCTTCCTGCTTTAAAACCAATTTAGGGAGATAGTTTTCCCTAACAATTAATGTTCCTCATATCCAAAACCCATCCAAATCAAATCTATCCTAATTCCGCAGCAAGTGTCACAACTCACTCTCAGTGAACTATAGTTTTATACTAAGCTACCTCCACTTCTCTTTCTGGGCTGAATAATTTCTTTTTCTTTTTGAAACAAGATTTCAACATGCAGATCACGCTGGCCTTCAACTCACTTTGTAGCCCACAATGGCCTTGAACTTGCAGCAATCCTCCTGCCTCAGTTTCCCAAGTGCTGGCATAACAGGCATGTGTCAACACACGCAGCCTGGGCTGCATAAACTGAATGTCTCTTGAATGCTGGAAATTATCAAACCCTGTGAAATAATCAGCCTCTCATGTAGGAGGGTTTATGAGTGCACACATGTCTCCTCTCATCTTTAATTTTATTCTCAGGATAATAAAGGGTTTAGATGAAAGAATGCCTCAATTCTAATAAGCTAGGAGCCTTCCTTAGGTGACCAGAACCCATATGGCACCAAGGGACTGGGACTAAATATTCTCACTTTACATGGAAAGAGAGCCTGGAGCAAACTCATGCTATTGAAAACATCAAAACTGCACTAAGGATTCCTGACGAGGGTGTGCTTCTTCCCTACCATCCAAAGATCACTTACAGGATTCCAGAAACTTCTTGCCATAGATCTCCTTGACCTCTGAGCTGGCCTAGTTCAACACTTTCTTCAAACTTGGCAAGAGTGTTTCAGCACTGCTTAAGTTCATCTTGAAGAAACCAGGCTCAATAATAACCACTTCACCCCAAAATAGGAGAGCTCTCTTCTGCAAGCAACCCAGAAACAGGTGAGAACTTCAGTCCTTTTGGTAGGCAAAGCACAAAAATTACATAGCACAACACATTAATGTGAGATTGGAATGGGAGAAATTTGGAAATTTAGGATATATAATGTGCAGGAGCTTGTGTTAAAAAGATGGTGATGGCATTGTCTCTGTGTATTTGTAAACATTTTTTCAAGCATTGTGCATATGCCAACCTATTGCTGTCTTCTACCTGTTCATTTCAAAGGCGCCCAATAAAACCTATCTGGTTAGGTAAGATGCACATGTCTATAAACCATCACTTGAGAGACTAAGGTAGAAGAATCACAGCCTGAAGGCTAGTCTCCATAGTGATCCATGTCTTAAAACAAACAAACAAACAAACAAACAAACAAAACCACTAGCTATGCTTGTTTCCCTCGTATAGATGAATCTCCATGCTTTGTCCCAGCCTCCTCTGCTGAAATCAGGCCCAGCCT